TGCAGTAAACCGACGGGAGATGACAAGTGCCGGATTAGGGCCCGGGCCCCTTCCTGTGTAAGGGGAGGGTCGTACTCTCCCAAGTGTAGAGCAAGAACCTGCAGGATGGGTCACCGCCTTTATGTTAGCGGAAAGAAGGGGGGGTTTTTCCGGGTCACGCCCAAGGCTCTTCCGCTTTGGGGGAGGACAAAGGAATTGTAACCGTGATGGGGAGATATGGAACGGGCGCCTTCCCCGGGAGGAAGAGCAAAACTCCGTTTGCCAAGGTTCGCTTGAGGTGGTACCGTCTCCTACTGATATGTTTTGCCAGACATGGAGATTGATTGCCCTGGTTAAGAAGGGGGAAAGGAGAAGATTAGTTTTGGGATCGTCAGCGGTTCCCCGGGGAATTCGGGGTGCGGGTTGCGGGGGGGGGCCCCCCCCCCTGGGGGGCCCCCTTAGGGGAAGTTTGGGGGTTTTCCCCCCCCTTTGGGCGACGGGGGGGTAGGAATAAGGGAGGCCAGTGAAGGGGGAATGGGGGAAGGGGGAGTGATTTTGTATAGGGAGAGAATTAAAAGGAAAAAGGGGAGGAATTAGCGCTGGGGACCCGTGGGAAAAAGCAAATTGGGTTTAAGACCCGTCTGAAAAACCATGGTTTTGGGCAAAAAGGTTTTTTTGGAGGAAGCAAAGAGTGGAAGGGCCCGCCGGGAAAAAAGAAAAAAAAAGGGGAAGGTCTGAGTTTTACATCAGAGGACAAGGGGTTTTTTTGAGGGGGCAAGGAAGAGGAAAGGGAAATTTTTTTTTTTTTTGGGGGGGGGGCCGGGGGGGGGGGGGAAGGACCGGCCAAAGATGGTTTTGGGGGAAGGGGAACTGGGGAAGCGGGGAGTTTTTTTGGGGGGCCCCCGCTAAAGTTTTGGAAAGGGGGGAAAAAAGAAAAAGAAAGGGGAAAGGGTTAACGGTTTTTAGTTAACAAAAAGGGGTGGTGGTTTTTTAAAAAATGGGTTTACAACCTTTAAGGAAAAAAAGGGGGGGGGGGGGGGGAAAGGGGAAAGCAAAGGGGGTTTAAAAGGGTGGGGAAGGAGATGGTTGGGAAAAAAGGAGGGGAGGGGTTGCAGCGGGAGGAAAGGTTGTTGGGGGGGGTAAAGTCGCCCCGAAGTTTTTTCCAGAAGGGGGGGAGGAAGGTCAAAGCCCGGGGGGGGGAGGGAGGGCCCAGGTAGGGACGAATTAAACAAAGGGGGGAAAGGGGTTTAAAGGGTTTTAAGTGGGAAGGGAAGGTTTACAGAGAGGGAGGAGGGGGGGGGGGGGAGGAAGAAGGGCGGCGGGGAACCTTTTAGGGAGAGAGATTGGGGAAAGAGGGTAAAAAGGGCCAGCAGGGGGAAAAGTTTTAGAGAATGTGAGAAGGAGTTTAAAGGGGTAAGGGAGCTCCCCGTAGGGGGGGACCCTGGGGGTGGTAAGCCGGAGTCATTCTGAGAGAGTAGCAAGAGAGTCTAAGCACGCCAATATTTGGAAAGAAAAGAAAGGATATGGTAGTTTCATCAGAGGGATCTTTTTTTTGAGAGGGGGAAATCTCGCTTCTTGAGAGGAAGGACATAGCAGGGTCAAGGATGAGTTGATTGTAGGGAAAGGTCACCGGATTCTGGAGAAGAGAGGAGGGGTGGGGTCAGCGGCGGTGTTGGCGGCTCTCCCTCCGGATTTTATTGGAGAGAGGGGGAGAAAGAAGTCTAGGGTAGGGCTGTCAGGACGTTCTTCTTAACAAACGAGGATCGTTGTCAAACTTTTTTCAAAGTGGTTGACGAGTATCCACAGAGAGGGAGGGGGGGGAGGGGGGGGGGGGGAGGACGATTCAGCAGAGAGGAGAATGTGGCAAAGAGCTTCCTAGGGTTAGAGGCAGATGCTTGGAATTTAGAGTGGTAGAAAGTGGCCTTAGCAGCAGAAACAGATGAAGAGAATGTAGAGAGGAGGGAGTGAAAAGATGCCAGGTCCACAGGGAGTCTAGTTTTCTTCCATTTCCGCTCAGCTGCCCGGAGCTCTGTTCTGTGAGCTCGCAATGAGTCATCAAGCCACGGAGCTGGAGGGGAGGACCGAGCCGGCCGGGAGGATAGGGGACACAGAGAGTCAAAGGATGCAGAAAGGGAGGAGAGGAGGGTTGAGGAGGCAGAATCAGGAGATTGGAGGGAGAAGGATTGAGCAGAGGGAAGAGATGATAGGATGGAAGAGGAGAGAGTAGTGGGAGAGAGAGAGCGAAGGTTGCGGCGGCGCATTACCATCTGTGTAGGGGCAGAGTGAGTAGTGTTGGAGGAGAGCGAGAGAGAAAAGGATACAAAGTAGTGGTCGGAGACATGGAGGGGAGTTGCAGTGAGATTAGTAGAAGAGCAGCATCTAGTAAAGATGAGGTCAAGCGTATTGCCTGCCTTGTGAGTAGGGGGGGACGGTGAGAGGGTGAGGTCAAAAGAGGAGAGGAGTGGAAAGAAGGAGGCAGAGAGAAATGAGTCAAATGTAGACGTAGGGAGGTTGAAATCCCCCAAAACTGTGAGGGGTGAGCCATCCTCAGGAAAGAAACTTATCAAGGCGTCAAGCTCATTGATGAACTCTCCAAGGGAACCTGGAGGGCGATAGATGACAAGGATATTAAGTTTAAATGGGCTAGTGACTGTGACAGCATGGAATTCAAATGAGGAGATAGACAGATGGGTTAGGGGAAAAATTGAGAATGTCCACTTGGGAGAGATGAGGATTCCTGTGCCACCACCCCTCTGACCAGATGCTCTCGGGGTATGCGAGAACACATGGTCAGACGAGGAGAGAGCAGTAGGAGTAGCAGTGTTTTCAGTGGTAATCCATGTTTCCGTCAGCGCCAGGAAGTCGAGGGACTGGAGGGTAGCATAGGCTGGGATGAAGTCAGCCTTGTTGGCAGCAGAACGGCAGTTCCAGAGGCTGCCTGAGACCTGGAACTCCAGGTGTGTGGTGCGTGCAGGGACCACAAGGTTAGAGAGGCAGCAGCCACGCGGTGTGAGGCGTTTGTGTAGCCTGTGCGGAGAGGAGAGAACAGGGATAGGCAGAGGCATAGTTGACAGGCTGTAGCAAATGGCTACAATAATGCAGAGGAGATCGGAATGAAATGAACTAAACATCTGGGAAAGGAGAGAGCAGGGCCTCCCTTACCACAACTCCCAAATATATCTCTCCCAACTTCCAGCTCAGTGAAGCACCAGAATAAAACTCTCCCAACTTCCACTTTAGAAATTAGAATAGTTGCAAACTACAGCGGTTCAATGTTTCAAGGAATAGACTCAACTTACTTTATTCAGCTAGCTGACTATGACGCCATAGCTAACTAGCATGCTAGCATCCAATAACACACGGTTTAGCACCAATACTTGGTTACAACAAGCTACCAATAGTGTGTTAACACACTAAACAGATAATTTGTGTCCGTGTCTAGTTCCTTTCATAACGCAGCAATAATTAAACGTTGGCTAGCTAGCACAAAGATATAGTACTGCTAGCTGGTGGTGTTGGCTAGCTAGCAATGGCTGCTGTGTTGACTTTGTTTGAAAAACGGCGTCGCTGCAAACGAATGTAGCTGGCTAAAAGGATATTGTATTTAGTTACTACAGTCCTGCTAGCTAGTAGCTGGTAGTGTTGGCTAGCTAGCAATGGCTGCGGTGTTGACTTTGTTTGAAAAACGGCGTCACTGCGAACGAATGTAGCGAGTGGAGGACAGAGGAGCCTCTTAAAGAAGAAGTTACAGGTCTGTGAGAGCCAGAAATCTTACTTGTTTATAGGTGACCAAATACTTATTTTCCACCATAATTCGCAAATAAATTCATTAAAAATCCTACAATGTGATTTTCTGGAAATATTTTTCTCAATTTGTCTGTCATAATTGACGTATACCTATGATGAGAATTACAGGCCTCTCTCATCTTTTTAAGTGGGAGAACTTGCACAATTGGTGGCTGACTAAATACTTTTTTCCCCCACTGTGTATATATATATATATATATAAATAACATTGCGTGCTGAATTTGCACAATAACTTTTATTAGATTTTTATTTTGGCACAAAAGTAAATGTGGCACTGACTCGCACATGGATTGATGTTTCAGCATTGTCTCAATGAAGAGTTTAACGTTCGACTAGCCATGTGCAACATGCACACACAGTTACAAGCCTGCTACAGTTAGCGGCAGGCGGATGAGCAATATCCACCGTCGTAGTACGGATGAAGCCTGAGATGGAATGTGACGCTTACTGAAGCTGGTTAGCTTTAGAAAACCCTGAAAAGATCTAGCTTGCTTCGTAGGAAACACCTCTGACCATGAATGTGGTGACTGACTGAATGACTCAGGGGAGTAGAATGGAAGTAGCAGTAGTCACAGTCAGTGGTAGGTGTTACTGGGTAATTTTGGACTGTTAGTCTGTATCCATGGAGCTAAGCAGGGCATACATCGACTTTGTCACACTCCTGAACTGAGAGTGCACATCAACACCTCTCTTCCTTCTTTCATTCTCTCTCTTTCTATGCCGCTTCAGCCACGGTGCCACGCATCACCTCCAATTAACACTTGCGACTGTGTGTGTGGGTGTGCGTCTGTGCATCCACACATATTCGCCAGCCACATCCTGCCCAGCAGCCTCCCAGGTCAACCATGAGGCCGCTATAAATATCACAGCAGTTAACAGGCTGCTAACAGGAACTAAAGAGCAGGGCTGCACTCACTCACACACAGTATCAAATAGATATCACACACACACAGGCAGATACACACACACACACACACACACACACACACACACACATGCAGATACACACAGGCAGACACACACACACACACACAGCATCAAATAGATATACACGCAGGCATGCACGCACGCACGCACGTACGCGTGCACACACACACACACACACACACACACACACACACACACACACAGAGAGAGAGACTTACTAGGGGTAGTGTGTTTCCCAAATTGGCTCCAGTTAGAGTGACAGCCATGACGGCAGGGCAGGGCTCACCGAAAAAGGCGGGCTTGCCTGTGTGAGTGACAGCCCCGATGGCGATGCTGTAGACACTGTTGACATAGCCGTCTGCTCCACAGTGGTCGTTCACCAACCCACCATTACCAGACGCCCACACAAAGATACTGCCTTTTCCACCTCGCCCCTGTATTAAGGTGAAACAGAGAGGGGAGGGGAGTTGGTGGAAGGATAAAATATAATAGAATGGAATAGAATAGAATTACATTGACTAGAGAAAAGCGAGCATGCATGCGTGCATGCGTTTGTGTGTGTGTGGATGTGCATGTGTACATGCATGTACAGTATGGATGTGTGTGTGTTTACTTGCGTGCCTGCATGTACTTTGCCTGTGTGTGTTTGTGTGTTAACCTTGCCTTCTGCGTGCCCAGCCTCAGTGCTTTCTGTGTGAGTGTCCCCGGCCCAGCCATCTCCTGTCCGTCGTCCTGCGGGCCCCAGCAGCACACGTACACATCAATGAAGTCGTTGTTGAAGGTCAGAGATGTGGCCTCCATGGAGTCCGTCACCGTGCCGTCCAGCAGACGGATACCTGGCCGGGTCAAAGGTCAGTCAGAGGTCACGGGGCAGAGGGAAGAGGTAAGGGGTGACAGTTCATTCCGAGGATTATTTTTTACTGCCCATTTGTTATGATGCCGATCTAGCCCTGTGAATTGGTTTGAACAGCTGTTGACTTTTAGCGTTATAGCATGACACTAGAATCAAAAACATTTTTCAGAGGATATTCTTATTCAAATGTCCCAATATATTTTCTTGTTGATGCATACTTATGCTCTGGACTGTACAGCTGTATTATATTAGTCATCCTCACTAAATTACAACAACTCAAACCCAAAATGAGATGTTAAATTAGGTCTGTATGGCTCAATAACAGCGCGTCTCTGTCACATCCTAACACACACACACTAATTAGATAGATTTCTCTCGTCACCACTTGTGTAAACTCTAATTCACAAATACAGCTGAACATCAACACCTAAACTGGCTGCGATAGACTTATTGATTACTGGGCTTTATGGAAGAAATGCACTGCAAATGCATTGTTCTGTTGTGGATACGCCCGTGGTCCCTTGGTCATCATTATCAAGCATCAGCGCTATGATTCACTTTAACTAGGTCTGCCTCCCAAAAACCACCCTATTCCCTATTTTCTGTGCACTACTTTTGACCACTGCCCGTCAAAAGTAGTACGCTATATAGGAAATAGGTTGCCATTTGGGACTTGTGCATTATCTCTCCAGCTGATCACCAATCACTGGCATTGCATTACCCTGTTGTCATTGTCTTTTTATTGAGCCGTTCCATTAAATTTGATGTGTGATTGTCCTCATAGTATGTTATCACTGCACTGCTACATTTCATATAATTTCCCTGGTAATATAAACACTGCTCTTCTCTTCTTCATGAACGTACTGTTACTGTATTGTTCATTGTTACCTCGCCTAGCGTCTCCTATTCAGTCTGATTGAATCATCTTTTTTATGTTGTTATTAAGGCATGGCTTATATTATATATTTCATTTGCTATAATATTATTTTAGATTTTCAAATGGTATACTATAATAGACAATATCATGTCTCATAGACAATGTACATTTGTCATAGTACAGTGCAATCATATTATATGTACATATTATAGTAGCACAACTAGTACAATCATTCAATAAGATGTATATTTGTCACGACTGTCTGTGAGATGCGGTAAACGAAGTCAGGCGCAGGACACAGAACTCTCGGATACGTACTTTTAATACGAAAAGGATCCAAAAGGACACAGAAAATAACTCCACGCAGGGAGGAAATAACCCGCTCACAAAATAGACAACCGTGAAGGGGAAAACAATCACACACAAAGTACAGATGAGAGACAGGGGTAATTATAAGGGAAACAATTAACATAATGACGAACAGGTGTAAACAATACAGACAAAACTAAACAAACACCGATAACATCGAACGGCAGTAGCTAGTACTCCGGGGACGACGAACGCCGAAGCCTGCCCGAGCAAGGAGGAGGAGCAGCCTCGGCAGAATCCGTGACAGTACCCCCCCCCCCCCCCCCCTTGACGCGCAGCTCCAGCCGTGCGCCGACCCCGGCCTCGGGGACGGCCAGGAGGACGCAGAGCAGGGCGAGTTGGGTGACTCCGGTGGAACTCTGTCAACAGGGAGGGATCTAGGATGTCCCTCCTAGGGACCCAGCACTGTTCCTCCGGACCGTACCCCTCCCACTCCACGAGATACTGCAGACCCCCATCCGACGCCTCGAATCCACGATGGAATGGACTGAGTACGCCGGAGCCCCTTCGATATCTAGTGGGGGCGGAGGGGCCTCTCGTACTTCATTCTCCTGGAGTGGACCAGCTACCACCGGCCTGAGGAGAGACACATGGAACGAGGGGTTAATGCGATAATTAACAGGCAGCTGTAACCTATAACATACCTCGTTCAATCTCCTCAGGACTTAAAATGGCCCCACAAACCGCCGGCCCAGCTTCCGGCAGGGCAGGTGAAGGGGCAGGTTTCTGGTCGAGAGCCAGACCCGATCTCCCGGTGCATAAACCGGACCCTCACTGCGGTGGCGATCGGCGCTCGCCTTTTGCCGTCTGATGGCCCGCTGCAGATGGACGTGCGCAGCGTTCCATGTCTCCTCCGAGCGCCGAAACCATTCATCCACCGCAGGAGCCTCGATCTGGCTCTGATGCCAGGGTGCCAGAACCGGCTGATAGCCCAACACACACTGGAAAGGAGTGAGATTAGTGGAGGAGTGGCGGAGTGAGTTTTGGGCTATCTCTGCCCAGGGAATATACCCTGACCACTCCTCCTGCCGGTCCTGGCAGTAGGACCTCAGAAACCTACCCACATCTTGGTTTACTCTCTCCACCTGCCCATTACTCTCAGGGTGAAAACCCGAGGAAAGGCTGATCGAGACCCCCAAACGTTCCATAAACGCCCTCCACACTCTAGAGGTGAACTGGGGATCCCGATCAGACACTATATCCTCAGGCACCCCGTAGTGCCGGAAAACGTGAGTAAACAGGGCTTCGGCCGTTTGTAGGGCTGTAGGAAGACCTGGCATAGGGATGAGACGGCAGGCCTTAGAAAACCGATCCACAACGACCAAGATCGTGATATTCCCCTGGGAGGGGGGAAGGTCCGTGACAAAATCCACCGACAGGTGAGACCACGGCCGTTGTGGAACGGGGAGAGGTTGTAACTTCCCCCTGGGCAGGTGTCTAGGCGCCTTACACTGGGCGCACACCGAGCAGGAAGAAACATAAACTCTCACGTCCTTAGCTAAGGTGGGCCACCAGTACTTCCCGCTAAGACAGTGCACCGTCCGACCAATACCAGGATGACCAGAGGAGGGTGACGTGTGAGCCCAATAAATCAGTCGGTCACGGACCTCGAGCGGCACGTACCTCCGTCCCTCTGGACACTCTGGGGGAGAAGCGTCGGTACGTAACGCCCGCTCGATTTCCGTGTCGACCTCCCACACCACCGGTGCCACGAGACAAGACTCCGGTAGTATGGGAGTGGGCTCAATGGACCTCTCCTCTGTGTCATATCGTCGGGACAGGGCGTCTGCCTTAACGTTCTGTGACCCAGGGAAATACGTGATCTTAAAGACAAACCGGGCCAGAAACATGGCCCACCTAGCCTGACGAGGGTTCAGTCTCTTCGCTGCCCGGATGTACTCCAGGTTACGATGGTCAGTCAGAATGAGAAAAGGGTGGTTAGCCCCCTCAAGCCAATGTCTCCACACCTTCAGGGCCTGGACCACAGCTAGCAGCTCACTGTCCCCCACGTCATAATTGCGCTCCGCCGGACTGAGCTTCTTAGAATAGAAAGCACAGGGGCAGAGTTTTGGAGGCGTGCCCGAGCGCTGAGACAGTATAGCACCGATCCCCGCCTCGGACGCATCCACCTTGACTTGGAACGCCAAAGAGGGATCCGGATGTGCCAGCACCGGAGCTGAGGTGAACAGGTCCTTCAAATGACTAAACGCCCTGTCCGCCTCAGCCGACCACTGCAAACCCACCGGGCCCCCCTTTAGCAGGGAGGTAATGGGAGCCGCTACCTGTCCAAAACCCTGGATAAACCTCCGGTAGTAATTGGCAAAACCCCAAAACCGCTGCACCTCCTTTACTGTAGTTGGAGTCTGCCAATTTTGCACGGCTGAAACGCGGTCAATCTCCATCTCCACCCCTGACGCAGACAACCGGTGTCCCAGGAAGGAGATGGACTCCTGGAAAAACAGCCATTTCTCTGCCTTCACATACAGATCATGCTCCAACAGTCTACCCAGCACCCGACGTACCAGGGACACATGCTCGGTACGTGTAGCGGAGTATATCAGAATGTCATCAATATACACCACTACCCCCTGTCCATGCAAATCCCGGAAAATCTCGTCTACAAATGATTGGAAGACTGAAGGAGCATTCATTAGACCGTATGGCATGACGAGGTACTCATAGTGACCCGAGGTGGTACTGAAGGCTGTTTTCCACTCATCTCCCTCCCGAATGCGCACCAGGTTGTAAGCGCTCCTGAGATCCAATTTTGTGAAGAAGCGCGCCCCGTGTAATGACTCCGCCATACTAGCAATCAGAGGGAGAGGATAGCTGTATTTAATAGTTATCTGATTGAGACCACAGTTATCAATACACGGGCGTAAACCCCCATCCTTCTTCTTCACAAAAAAGAAACTTGAGGACGCAGGAGAAGTGGAAGGCCGTATGTATCCCTGTCTCAAGGATTCGGCGACGTATGTCTCCATAGCAGCTGTCTCCTCCTGAGACAGAGGATACACATGGCTGCGAGGGAGCGCCGCGCCAACCTGGAGGTCTATCGCACAATCCCCCTGTCGATGAGGTGGTAATTGAGTCGCCTTCTTCTTACAGAAGGCGCTTGCCAAATCGGCATACTCAGGAGGAATGTGCCTTGTGGGCATTTGGTTCGGACTCTCCACCGTCGTTGCCCCTCCCGAAACACCTACACACCGCCCCACACACTGATCAGATCATCCCTTGAGAGCCCTCTGTTGCCATGAAATGTTGGGGTCATGAGATATTAACCAGGGAAGTCCCAACACCACTGGAAACGCAGGAGAGTCAATTAAATACAACTGTATAGTCTCCTCATGACCCTTCTGCGTTTTCATCTTCAGTGGCGCTGTGACCTCCCTAATCAATCCCGACCCCAAAGGCCGGCTATCTAGGGCATGGATAGGGAAGGGCACATCGACTGGTAATATAGGGATCCCTAATTTATATGAGAAATGGCGATCGATAAAATTCCCAGCTGCGCCTGAATCGACTAGCGCTTTATGCTGGGAGTAAGAAGAAACTTCTGGAAACATCACTTGGATACACATATGAACAGCAGAGAGCTCTGGGTGAGTTGGGACCTTACTCACCGGGAATGACTCATCAGTGCGCTGCCTGCTGCCTCGAATCCGAGGAGACCCTCCCCAGCACCGAACCGCAGTGTGTCCTCGGCGGCCACAGTTGGTGCAGGGGACAGCCTCCTT